TGGAAGTTAATCTATCTCATACCACTTTATGTTCTCTGTGCAGGTTGCTTTTACCTATACAGAGCCTCTAATTCATTTTGCCTTGGTTTGTGGTAACCGATCTGGTCCTGCTCTTCGTTGCTTCTCACCTGGGAGCATTGATAAAGAGCTGATGGAAGCAGCCCAAAATTTCATACAAGGTGGAGGACTTACCATTGATTTTAAAGAAAAGGTTGCATATGTTAGTAAGATCTTGAGATGGTAAGTTTTTCTTTGCAGGTTCTTTTATCCAAAAAAAGCAGTTTGCTTTGTAGGTTGTTTGGTCATACTTATGAATCTACCTTTTGTATTTTGTTTTCATGCATGAAAAAACTTACATGGATATGGCTGAAAGCGGTATTTGATTGCATGAGTCAAAAGTTGACTTATCTTTTTTTTAATCAGTGTCTATTTGGTGAGTTTTTGTACCTTTGTGATGGTTTTGATGTACACTATTTTAATCTGTCTTTTTTTGGAAAATTTTCTAGCTTTTTTTTCAATGGAGAATGAACGTTATGATTTCATTTTAAATTTACACTTTTAGTAGTCTAAAGGATAATATTTTCCAAATATTAAATAGCTTTAAAAGATTAAGTTTAAAGTTAAATTTGTATTAAAAACCAAATCGCCACATCTTTTCCCCCACAAGTTAGGTGGTTATCCCTTGGCTAAATGCAGTTCACGTGTAGGAGCTTTATGCGTAAATAATCTACTTCTCTGAGGCTTCCTAAATGACAGTATGTTTTGCTGTCAAAACCTATAATTTAGCGCCTGAAGTTTGCAAATTATGAGAATATTTCTGTTGCCTGTAATAAAAGCTAGTTTCAGTTGTAACTCTCTCTCCCAAGCTGGTTGTGGTTGTTTGATGTTGGTTTCTAAATTCTATGCCTCAGGTTTAGCGTTGATTTTGGCAAGAATGAGGTAGAGGTGCTGAAGCATGCCTCTAACTTCTTGAAGCCAACAGATGCAGAACCTTTACTGGAGTTGCTTGCTAATACTCAGTTGAAGGTGATATATCAACCTTATGACTGGGGAATGAACTACTGATTCACTCTTGCTCTTTCTCCCCCCCTTATATGGTACATATATTGTTCATACAGATTCCTCTGGTATACAAACAACTAGAATACATAAAAATTACATTCCTCTGACATACAAATAACTAGAATATATACAAATTATGTAATATGTCAGCCTTGTGAAAGCATTTCTCGAGTTTCAAATATTTCAATTTGTGGAATTTTAGAAACTCTCTCTTCTTTTTTAACTTCTGGAGTTGGCTTTTCAACTGTTGCTATTATAGCACCTTGGAAGCATCGTGCTCTGAGAGTAATTTCATACATTTTATAATAATTTATTTGGTAACATTGTACAGTAATTGAATAACAACACGGTTAGTATATATAAAGTCTTAGGTGGTTACAAATCATTTTCTGAGTGAAGATTTCTTATTAATTTTCATTTGACGATATTAAATGATTAAAGAAACAGCCTTGGGATTAAAACTAGAACCGTAAGGAGCAGCACAAATCAATAATTCATATTGAGACGTACAAGGTTCAATTTAGACACAGGATTGTCACCTTACCTTACCAACTACATGGTTTAATATTTTCATTAAATATGCTATTATATTATTCCATTGTTACCTGCCAAAACCATGTACTTGTCCTTCCTTGTAAGATTAGTGCACTGAAACCCTAATGCATTGGCAATCTCTTTCTGCACATGATTAGCAACCTCAAACCTTGTTTTCCCACCAGATTTGCATGTGTGGGAGGCAGGCAACTTATTGAGAATCTTGATAGAGTAGACAGGATGTGGGTTCATCAAGTAAAAGGCTGGATCTAGGCATTTGAGTCCACTGGCGGTGGAACCATGGAACATGGTAACCTGCATATCAAGAGCAGCAGGAACTATCTCATCAGTCATCTCTGCAAACAGAGGACTGAACCTGAGGAGATAGGGTTCTCTGCAAGTGGTTCCTTCTGGGCACACAACAAGGTCACCCTGACTCAACATCTTCTCCATAGTCATCTTGTCTTTCTCTCGATCTCTCACTAAACGGACGGTCCTGATTGGGGAGATCAACTCATTGAACCTACTTAAACTGTATGTGACTGCAGTGAGAGAGTTCATGAGACACAGAGAAAGACAAATTGGGTCTAGTAGAGTTCTATGGTTGCACACGTACAAGATATTATTAGGATTGTGTTTTGTAATAGTAGTGGTAGTAGTAGAAATAGTGATCCGCAATCCGAACATGGCTAGAGCAGGTAGAGACGCCTTGTAAGGTAATAAGATGGGAGTAATTAATCTGAAGGTGAAAGCTAGAAAGCCAAGTGGAAGCCACATGAACATGAGTAGGGTCTCAAGTGGGGTTGGCCTGAATGCCAATCTTCCGTCATGGAAGATCAAAGGTTTTGGATATCTCTTCCTTGGAAGGGTTTGCCAGCTCCTTTTCTCTGCTTCTGTGACCATGTATATCTCCTGTTCAAATTATAATAATGCACGTTACTGCTCCCTCGTGATTGTTAAAATAAAAACAAAGTTTGGTGGTGATGATACAGGGGGTGGTACCAATATTACCTACCTTGCAAGAAGAGAAGAGTTGTTGGTCAATGGACTTATTGGATCCATCTATACAAATAACATTACATGACATTATCTCATCACCGAGAACCTCATTAACGACATTCCTACCTGTCGTTTTGGCTTCCATAATCCCAACAAAATACCCATTCAACACTTTCAACTCTCTTCCAATAACACCATCAACTCCCATATAATCTTTCAAGAAACCTTCCACCATGATTCTTGGAAACTCGGTCACCCCCACCTTTCTTCTACATCTCATCATCACATCAAACCCTTCATTCCCAACATCTTCTAACAAGAACTTGTGCAGAACAGAGGTTCCCAACCTAAACCTGTCCTTTTTAATCCCTGCAAAAGATACAAACACCATGATCTTCGTCCCCCGCTTCTCTCCAACCAGCCAGATCAAAGGGTAAAATAGTAGCAAAACAAGAGCTCTTAACACCCCTCCCGCCTCAAACGCCACCAACATGAAATACGGAAAGTAAGAAGACGATTTTAACAGTGCACCCTCTAAGTTGAAAATCACTGAATGGTTTGAAAACTTGACGAGGCCGGAGCTGGTGGGTAATTTCTTGAATGTCCTTTCGTACTGGGTCTGATCATAATGATATTGGGACTTGAGAAGTAGGAGATAAAGCGAGAGTACTGATTTCTTTAGTACGATTTTGGAGAAGAAAGAAAAAGCTTTCATCATTCCAGTCTGCTGCTCCCTAAGATGTTCTGCTGAGCTTTTGTTGTAAGTTAAATTGAGAATGGTAGCTAGCATGGACATTTTATAGGCCAAATATCATAATTAATGAACAGGACACGAGGGGGCAACACTGTTCGACGTACACAAATACATGTACAGCTATGTGTATATATTTACTTACACGTACATAAGACAAGGTGGTCATCATGACTTTTTTGTTATCAGCTAAGAACAATTTAAATACGTGTAAACTCCAAATAAGCCTTAAAAATCTTATTGCCCTAATTAATCCCTGAAAAACCGTTGCCTGTCTTATATCGAAAACAACACGTGACACCTCCACACGGGCTCTTCCTTATCTCTTTTATTTACTGCTTTTCTTTAAATAATAAAATTTTATTTAATCATATTATCAAAAGGGCCATGCATCCCCTTGAGGCTTAGTTTAAGATGTAAATTTTAGGTTTTAACTTCTTTTTAGAATAAGATTAATATGCATTGTCTCGTGCTTAAAAAAATAATGTGTGTATCAAGAAAACTATATAATAAGATTAATTTCCCATTTTATATCACTAATTTTTCAACTTTTAACAATATTGTATCTTGTTTTGATTTCAAAGATTGTAGTTACATTAGAATATCTATTAGTAGAATATTCAAATTTCATTCTCTATTATTATTACTTACAATGATTAGCTTAGTTAAGAAAGCGTATCCTCCAAATTTTTACAATTTATATATATACTCAAGACATTGATTTCTGACATAATTTTACAACAAAAGATTCTATAATAATACAATATATATATATATATAATTAAATTACACCAGTGCGAATTTTTGCATAATTCCTAATAAAACTCGCATGGCAAGTCGATATTAAATATCCCAATTCCGGGACATCAAGTTAGTTAATAGTTACTAATTAATACGCAACCTATCCCTATTGTATTATTTAAATATTATATATAATTACACACACACACATATATATATATATAAAGTTTAGTGTAGGTATTATTATGTCAAGTTACATCATCAATAAAATATTATTTTTCAAAAATTAATTTGATAGAAACTAATTTAATTATTTTTGAGTTATGTATTTCAATTATATATTTAATTAATATAATTCAATAAATATAAAAATATATATGGCATATAATTAATTTAATTATTTATGTGCACGAAATTTAATATATATCATATATTAATTTTTAACTATCATATATCTAAAAAAGTATGAGAAAAAAATATTTAAATAAAAAAAAAACAGCATAAAGATTTGTGTGGTTTCTATATAGAAGTTGAAATATATTAAATAATTTATATAGTTTGAGAGATTTTTTTTTTTTTTTTGTAATATGTATTTAAATTTATTATTATTGATATATATTGTATTTTGATATTTTTTTTCATTTTATATTGTAACTAGTAAGTACTATTTAAATTATAATAATAATAATACAAATATAGATAATTAATTTATATTATTTATATTAAACTAACGTAAGTTTTTATCTTTTATTTAATATTTTTTTATCTAATCTATTTTAGAAATTCACCAAGGAAGCAAAACAACATATTTATTAAATTACGTCATTTATATATTTCAACAATTAAAAAACATGTACGAAGAATAGCATGTATCAAAAAAAAAAAAAATTATACACATATATATATATATATGTACATACTTCGTACGTAATGACATGCATGCACACTACAACAAACATGTACAAAATTGAAAAATCAATAGATTCATTAAATGAAAAACTTGAATTAATAAAAGAACCGACTTAATTAATTTATGTGTTGACGTCTCATATTTTTAATTCCTTCACTAATATATAAGTGTCTTGATCTTCAACAGGAAAAGCGAAATAATAATATCTTTAGAAAATAAAACTATTTGATAAATCACATCTGACATTGATTTCTTAGTAAAAATTAAATAATTCGAGATTTTTAAATTAATTTTTTTTTTTAAATATAGATCACAAATTTAATGAATTTAAAGAGTATGCTATAATAAATAAATAAATAAAAATTAAAAACTTTATGATAATATGTAACGATATGTAGTTTAAAATTAAAACGATAAAAAATAATTTTAAATTTTTTAATAAAAATTTACACATTTTATTAATCAAATAATACCTATATATTCTCATATAAAACAAAAAAAAAAATAGATAAATAAAATTGACAGTTATTTTAATAAAAATAATTAATTTAATTTGAGATGTGTGACCATATATGATTTTCCATCCAGTTTGTGGTACCGAAAATATTGTTGTCTCGAATTTTATTTTTTATTTTTTTAATTTGAATCTTGAAGATATAGATTTCTTGTTTAAGTAGCCTGTACATATATGCATGTGGCCCTGTATAGCTAAATGAGGATTACACACACACACACACAGAGATATGGATGTAATATATACATATATATATATGTGTATATAATAAATTGTGGCATGCAGATGGGGCCTTTTTGGGGTGGCGTGGCGGTCCAAGAAAAATAAATAATTTGTATGGGTAAAGAGAAATATTAATTATTAGTGGTAAGTAATTGTGGTAGATTATGTGTTGCAATCAAATTAGTTTGTAATTAATTATGGAATAAAGCTAACTGTATGAAGGCAACTGGTAACCCCAATTCATATTTTGTTGCCCACATCTTTCTGCCCTTTAGAATATGCTACTTGCGGTGGCATCTCCCCACCGAAATACTAGATGTTCAATCAACAACTACGTTATAAATTGGTACTTATAAATACATACAATATTATTATTATAAAATAATAATAATAATAATAAGACCATATACTCTATTCAACTCAGTAATTTATAGTAAACACAAACTATATATTATTTTTAAAATAAATTATACAAAACCCTAATGAATCCACCCATTAATATGCAAACATCCGTTGGTAAAATCTAAAATAAAAATAAATATAAAAAATTAGGTACACATGGGATTAAAGTAAACCATTTTTTTTTTTTTTTTAAATATCCGGCCTTGGTCGGAATGAGAATAATTCATGGTTGGGGGAGATTCAGCCAAAATATTGGCACGTGTTCTACCCTACAAGCCGAGCTGTGAGGCGCACAAGGTTTTTCTCGAGATGGATAACTTGTTTGCGATCAATGTTCTAAAGAAAGTCATCCGTCAGTGACCGATTCAGATCAATGTTTACTCCAATTTTATTTAAATTATTAAATTTTGTTTGATTAGGAATTGAAATATTCAGATTTAACATATTTACCGTCAAGAAAACCGTTTGTACTGATTTTTTAACCAATAAGATTTTTTCATAACCTCTTAAATTGCACTTTTATAGTTAACTTTTTGCCGATCTTGTTCAGTTCACTGTGTTTTAATCTATAATGTATCTTTATTTCTCTTTATAAAAAAAAAGAAACAAAAAATATAAACCAAAAATTAAAAAAAAAAAAAAAAAAAATTGGAAAATAATTAGGCTAAAAGTTGTACATAAAATCCAGAAATGGACTCCCTGTTTCATTTGGAATGAGGAATGAATTTAGCAGAAGAAATATAATGATATTATACCTAATAAGCCCACAAGAACACTACATTTATTTGAGTCAGTAAAATCAGTAGAGACATTCTGGTACCAATTAATTAATGTTTTTTTTTTTTTTCCTATTTGAAAGACGACATATTTAGTACTTACTAATATTATATTTCTGCATAACTTGTGTTTCGTTATTATGTTGGTTATAACAGGCGGCAAAAAAAAAATTAAAAGTTAGTAACTCTGAAACCAAGAATATATATACACATAATACAATACAATACAATATAACATAATGCATATCCTGGAGACTCGAGTCTAACTGCATATATATATATATATATATATATATATATATATATCGTAGAGTATGTTGACATCAAAATTGTTCTCTACATCATACTCTAAATATTAATTTTAAAAAAAAAAATGAACCTCAAAACCTGACAAAAAACCCAGAAATCCACCATGCACACGATACAAGGAAGTTATTAGCTGAATTATGATAGATGCCCAATTAGATTAGGGCCGATATGATTAGCCCACCAAAGCCTACAACCTTGATGTAAAACACAGTATTTGTTATGTAGAGAAATTATTTTTGTACAAATTGATGCGTAGTAACATATAGGAATAGAAAATTTGAGATATATATATATATATTAATTAATATAAACTGGTAACTTATGCTATCACATTAATTTGTACTTAGACGTATAGAAATATATAAGAGAGAGAGAGAGAGAGAGAGAGATGGGTCTCAAATCCATGAAGAAGCTGAAAACAGATGGTTCGTGCTGGTGGTGTTATTTGGAGACTGGATTAAACATTTAATTTTGATTTCGGGGGATTAAATATGTAGTCATTAGTTTTGTTTGCAGAAGGTAGTTGAGATGGTTGGAAGTGTTTAATCTTGTCGGAGATTTAGCTGGGGATGAGCTGTGATAATCTTCCCTCTCAATTATACGTACTACCTTTTCCCCTCACATGATGATGATATCTTCGTCTCAACACTTGTTCTTTCTCAATTAATTAAATATAATTATTACAAATTTAAAACATCAATTACTTTTAAAAACTCAAATATATATAGACACATATCATTAATGAATTTAATTATAGGACAGAGACAAACTAAGTGAAGCTTAATTGTTTATATGATGCCTTCATTGCCTGCCAAAATCATATACTTATCCTTCCTGGTAAGATTAGTACACTCAAATCCCAAAGCACCTCCAATCTCTGCCTGCACATAATTAGCAACCTCAAATCTCGATTTCCCACCAGATCCAGACGTGTTGGAGCTCCCCAACTTCTCCAGAATCTTGATATTGTAGACTGGATTTGGATTCATCAACTGAAACGCAGAATCCAAACACTTGAACCCGCTTGCAGTAGATCCATAAAACATGCTTACTTTCATGTCCAGACCAACCGGAACTATCTCGTCTGTCACCTCCGCAAACAGCGGACTGAACCTTAGCAGGTACGGCTCTCTGCATGTAGTTCCTTCTGGACAAACCACAAGGTCGCCCTGGCACAACATCTTCTCCATTGTTGTCTTGTCTATCTCTCGGTCTCTCGTTAACCGCACGGTCTTGATCGGGGAAATCATCTCGTTGAATCTGCTCAGGCTGTACGTGACTGCAGTGAGAGGTTTCATCAGAATCACTGAAAGGTAAATTGGGTCCAGTAGAGTTCTGTGGTTGCAGACGTATAAAGTGCTTCTTGGTTTGGTGTCTTGGTCGGTTATCTTTATTGGGTTGGATTTTGAAACTCTGGCTCTTATCCCGGATAAGGAGAGAATAGGTATGAGCACCTTGTAAGGCAATAAAACAGTAACTGATACTCTGATAATAAAGAGCAGAAACCCTAATGGAAGCCACATGAACATGGTTAGTGTTGAAATTGGGGTTGGCATGAATGCTAATCTTCCATCATGGAAAATTAAAGGGTTTGGGTATTTCGTTCTTGGAAGATTTTGCCACTTTCTTTTCTCTGATTCAGTCACCGAGTAAATCTCCTGCAGCCATAGAAATGCATGACAATTAGCTAAGCAGCAGATTTAAATGTACTTTACGTACTTAAATATATCAAGCATGGAATTGTTATTGTTATTATTATTATTATTTTGAGAGAGTGAGCAATATGGAATTTTATGTGTTAATTACAGTGGAATGCGAGAAGAATTGCTGATCAAGGGACATATGATTGAATCCACCTACGCAAATGACATTACTGTATGTCATTTTCTCTTCACCAAGAATTTCATCGACGACATCCCCTCCTGTCGTTTTGGCTTCCATTACGCCCATAAAATACCCATTCACCACTTTTAACTCTCTTCCAATAACACAGTCAACTCCAATATAATCTTTCAAGAACCCTTCCGCCATGATTCTCGGAAACTCAGTTACCGCCACCTTTCTTTTACACCTCAGCACCACATCAAACGCTTCACACCCAACGTCTTCTAAGAAGAACTTGTGCAGAACAGAGCTTCCCATTCTGAACTTCTCCTTTTTAATCCCTAGAAAAGACACGAATACCATAATTTTCAGCCCCAGTTTCACGCCAACCAAACGGATAAAAGGGTATAAAAGTAGCAAAACAAGAGCCCTTAACAGCCCTCCTGCTTCAAAGGCCACCAGCATGAAGTAAGGAAAGTGAGAAGATGATTTTAACAGTGCCCCCTCTAAGTGGAAAATCACCGAGTGATTGGAAAATTCTTCTGACTTACGGACAAGGGTTTTTTCTAATAATTTCTTGAATCTTAACTGGGTGCGAGGGAGATTTTTATAATTATTGTTTTTCTTGAATTGGGTAGAAGGCGGACTTGCTAGAATGATTATGGACAAGAAAGAAAGAGCAAGATTGAGTGTGAAAAGCAGCTTTCCAGCCATTTCTAGTGTTTGCTTAATTTATAGAAACAAGGAAATCTTTGATGGTGCTATATATATACACTACAGTAGTAGAGTATTAAATGCAAATGCTGAAAAGGCAAGAATTGGTACTAATGTCTCCTTGGTCCCCCGTGTATAAATATGATGATGCTTTCTCTGTACTGGCAAAAAGTAAAGCAAACTGCACATGCACCCCAGTATGAAGTGAGGTCGACATTGGCAAATTGTGGTTAGCTAGCCATATTCCTCAGACTATATACAGCACTACCTGTACTGCATTATATCCATATTGATGTAATGTTATTTATCTGCAATTCTGTTTGCAGTTGTTATACTTGTGTAATATAAAAAGCTCGGACACACGCCGGAATATAAGCATCTTTATGCTATCAGTGCAACACATATACAAAGCATATGACCATGAGTTATTGACGAGACGGTTCTAACGTTGTTTGCAGACCAACTTTATATCTATAAGTTGCCAGTTTCATACTTATCAAATAACTAAAATGTATAGACTCAATAATAATATACAAATTTCAACATGTGTAAACTCTTCATTTTATTAGAAAATTCTTAAGTTAAATATAAATTATAAATATTAATAATTAATATATATTTTTTGAATTTTTTTAACTATCTCACATATTATACTTTATAATAATTAGTAAATTAAATTTAATTATGATTTATATGTTTAACAATTATTATGTTAATACTTATATCTTGAATTAAGTTTGAAAAATATTTTATTTAGTTAAAATACCAAACTGGATTAGATATTTAGTTAAAAAGTCTTGAGGATGCCATGTAAAAAAAAAAAAAAAATTGTGGCATCTATATATATATGTATCGAAATAATTGTGCAGGTCTACTGTAGCAGTCAAGTCAGCTTCTAATTAATTATACGTGTGACCGTAGAAATTGAAGGCAACATAGGCTATTGGCCCCTGTGACCTCTTTTGTTGTTGAGTTAGGTACGTTCAAAAATGTCAATCGATTGAGTTTATCACAGTATAATTAGTTTGTGTAAGTCTACGCCTAAAAACAATTAATATATAAATCAAGAAACTATGGACCATGTAATCCAGACACTGAGGAAGTATAAGTATGATTCATCAGTTTAATTAATAATGGTTTAACTTTAACTTAATTTCTGAAACCAAATTAATTTACGTTGTGGTATCATTCTAAATCTTGGTTCCAAAACACCCATTAATTTTCAATTAGTCTAATCTCTTGGAACCTTAATTAAGCCCATTGGTACTCAATCCAAAAACAGAATATAAGCCCAAACATAAGATAACCCACGACCTTAACCCCACCTTACGCGGGCCTCAATGCTCACAAGTAGCCCGTTAACTAGTGCCAAACGTCATCGTTTTGGGAGGCCGTAGGCTCTGTTCCCGATCTTCTTCTTCGACACGGAAACAAGAGCCTTCCAGTGAAAATAGAAAATTGTAACCACAGTACAAAAATGACAAAGTATAATATTCTTTAACCAAAAGTTAATATATAAGCACCACCATGCTAATTATCCAAAATATATATATATATATATATATTCTTATTCAAATTTTTGGACAACCTCCTTCATCCATACCTGCATGTATGATCATACATATTATATATATATATATATATATATATGATTAATTAATGTAAAATGGAAGGGAGGTTGGAGGATGGAGATAGGTCCTTCAGTGGGAATGGTGGCGAGTGAGGATGATCATAACCATCACAATAGCCTTGGAGCACATTGCTTTCTTCGGAGGTAAACCCTAGCGCCACCGTCATGGTTGGCCAGCATTGTTGGGTAATATGATGTATGGCTCGGCAACAGGCGGGCCCTAAATATGTCTCTCCGTTAAGAAAGAAACTGATAATCTCACCCGTGCATGACTGAATCTGCATCAACGACTCCCAACACCCAGATGACTCCTCCTCCAGTTTCAGCCGAGCCACCAGGCTCGACCTCCATGAACCACTTTCCGATAGTTCCCGCGCCGTCGACTCCCCAACCATGGCCCAAGCTACCACCAAACAGACCACAAGCATCCTGTAGCTGAACGTATAAGCTGCCATTTTGGAAGACGAGAAGAAGTGAACATATATATATATTAATCCTACCTTCCTTCTTGCTTTATATACTATCATTAGAGGTCACGAACGTTACAGACATACTGGAAAATCAACAGACTAAATTAATAATGAGATGAGACCGATCATTTAGTTTAAAATGATTAATGTTATAATAATTAAGTAGTAATGCTAACGGTTTATAATGATAATCTTAATTAGATTCTGACTTTTCCCATTTCATCAATTATTTTTTTTATTTTAATTTATGTATTATATTATATTATATTATATTTCTTTTAAATTCATTTTTATTTTTATTTTCGTTTTTTCATATATATTTTTTATTTTGTATCGTCAAATTCAAAAGACTTTTATTATTAAAATTTTTATAGAATATGTTAACCTGTTAACTGCATGTTTTTTATTATATTAGTTGCTAATCAAATTAAAGAATAATTGAATAATATTTATTCATATTATCACAGTGAGAAACTAATGGTTTATTTTAATAAATATCATTACATTCACATGTTAATATTTTTAATTGATTTAATGAGTTGGTTTAATTTGAACATCCGTGTACTGTTAATCAACATGATTAACAATTTTATATATCTTAATACTTTTTTATCTTTTTATAATTATTATTGATGTAGTGGAGTTGTAAATGAAAGCACACCATTGGAAGAGGCCTTTGAGTTTTAATAATTTTATTTTGATTCATGAATGAAATATATAATAAGAAAATTAAATAATTTAATAATTTAAAAACAACCATTTGTTCAACTAAATATCATAAACATTTCTTTATAAAAAAATTATGAATTCGAATTATATTATGTTTTTATATTTCATTTAAATATTATTTTTTATTATATTATAATTAGTATTTATAAATTACTTATTTATAAATTTATGAAATTTATAATTTTTTTTAAAAAAAAAATTTGTAATAGCTTGTCAGGGGATTAATATTTCACACGATTTTATTTACAGCACGTAATATATACACATACAACCATATATTAAATATATATATATATATATTTGCATTCTGTATATATACTCTGAGACTGTGAAGAGTGCAAAGATTAGACTAACAAATTATTACTGATTTTCTCTTAATGAATTTGTTCAATATGTATAACTAAAATACATCTTATAACTCATTTTGGTTAAAAAAAAAATATTAGTAATTTATTATTGATGTGATATATGTTATAAAACATAATTAAATACACGGAGTACTTATATATATATATATATATACATATATTATTTTAAGAATATCTATTGTTTTCTCAAAACGCCATTTTCCATTGCGGTGTAATTTTCCTTTTCTCAATCAATAATAAAATTCAATTATCATCACCATATGTATGTAAGCTTTCAGATTTTCAACCTACATGTATATATATATATATGTATATGTATATGTACATAAAGACCTTCACTGTATTCATTAATCCCAGTTTGATTATATGCTTTTCGCAATACTTTCATTGAGAAAATAATATTGAAATTCTTCTCGTAAGATCGAAGACTACTTAATAAGTGGAACTAAAAACCTTATTATATAAACCCTACATATATATGATTAGGCGTGTGAACGGTCATTAGCGCCGTCGTCTTCTCCGTCGCAATAGCCGAGCAGTATGTTACCTTCTTCAGTGGTCAGCCCTAGAATTTCAAGTACGGTTGGCCAGCAATGGTGGCCGATATTCGCTATAGCTTCACAACAATGGCTGCCAAGGTTTAACTCGCCGTTAAGGAAAAACCAAATGAGCTCGCCAGTGCATGCTTCCAGCTGACTCAAAGACTCCCAGCAATCTGATGATCCTTCATCCGCTGCTTTAAGTCTTTTCTCGAGGGTCGATGAGACGGAGCCTAACAGCCGTGCGTTCCTCGTGGCTGCCGCCGGTGCCATGATCAACGCAGCTATGAGATTAACAGTGAGGAAGAGGAACTTATAATAGTTGAGGGTGGGTGCTGCCATTTTTTTACTCTATACAGAAGATGAGTTAGAAGTTGGTATTTATCCATGGAGTTTATATAGAAAAATAAATCGGTCTATTTATTATGTTATGAAGGTTATGAAATGTGAAGAGACTCAAAACAAAAAAAAAATTAAAATTTTAATGTATTAGTTACTAATAAAATAGTAAATTTTAATTAATTAATTAAATTTAAAATGCATAAAATGTAGAAATACAACAGATTAATTTTATGTGATATTTTGTTAATACATATATATATATATATATATATATATATATATGTCCGTTGACCTGGGATTACACTTTCTGACTGATACTGCACACTTCTGATCAATAGCAATGAAATTTGTTAGTGGCGAATTATTGTGACAAAACCTAGTATTATACCAGTTGCTACTTTTATCATAATAGAATATAAAAATTATCAATTCACGAGTAAACGGTATATTTTTAATTTAATTAAAACTATGTTATATAATTAATTTGATAAAAATATCAAATGTAACAATATATAGAATAAATAAACTAGTATATTCTATATATTTTATTTTAATGGAGAGCAAAATGGATTATAAACGAGTGGTAAGGCATGCTGGCGTGGTACCACGCGGAAGGCCACGCTGGCAATTCGCTTGACCACGTCCGGATTTGTTTCCGCGCGTGTGCACGATCCGGATCCGTTTCCCTTTTAAACACGATCGTGCGGTCCAAATTCACTTTCTATTTAAATGCGATCCGATAACCCAGATCAAATCGCGATGAACAGTCCAAATTCACTTCGTATTTAAACGCGATCGAACGGTTTAGATCAAACGCGATGGACGACCCAGACTAAAAGGAGACATATAAATACCATATTTCACACCAAACCCTAACATTAGCCGCCATACCCCCACCGGAGAAGAACCAGTCGCTGGGAAGGGAGCCAATCACCTCCTGCTATAGTGCTGGAGCCATTTGAACTAACTAACGCACCAGCCATCTTCATGGATTTGATGAACAGGGTTTCCGGACAATTCCTGAATCAGTTCGTCATTATATTTATCGATGATATCCTAATCTATTCAAAAAGCATAGATGAACACGCTCACCATCTGACTCAGGTTTTGCATGTTTTCAGAAAAAAAGAAGTTGTATACAAAACTGAGTAAGTGTGGATTCTGACTCGAGTAGACTACTTTCATAGGCCACATCATATTAAGTGATGGAGTATATCAGTGAACTCCGAAAAGGTTGAGGCAATGCTCTGCTGGAAAAAATTAACCCAGGTCAAGGAGATTCATAATTTTCTAGGAATGACAAGTTATTACCGCAGGTTTGTGGAATGATTTTCTAGTCTAGCTGCTCCTTTGACTAAGCTCACGAAGAAGAACGTCAAGTTCGAGTGGAATGAGGACTGTGAAAGGAGTTTTTCATAATTAAAGAAGCAGTTGATCACCGCACCTGTGTTGGCTTTATCGAGCGGGATAAGTAGATCTATAGATTATAGTGATGTCTCCTACTTGGGGTTGGGTTGGGTCCTGATGTAGCATAGAAAAGTCATAGCTTATGGGTTTAGGCAGTTGAAGAGTCATGAGAAAAATTACGTCGCCCATGACTTGGAACTTGTCGCGATTATCCACGCCTTGAAGAATTTGCACCATTATTTATATGGGGAGACATTTCAAATCTATATTGACCATAAGAGCTTGAAATATATATTCACTCAAAAGAATTTTAACATGCGTCAGAGAATATGAATAAAACTCCTTAAGGACTACAATTGCAACATCATGTATCACCCGGGTAAAGATAACATGGTAGCCGACGCACTCAACAGAAAAAGTATAGGTTTAACCACTAAATTATTTTTGTACTAAAATTAACTTTAAAATGTACCGTTGTCTATAGAAAATACAATTCCTGTGAATTCTTTGAATTACAACCTAAAGGATTTCATTTTTATTATAATAATAATTGATAAAAATAACAAAACTTATTACTAATTTTTTTAATCTCCACCTCAATTTTTTATTAAATTGATCATCATATTTATAAAGAATTTTTTATTTAATCTGTCATTTTAATTTATTATTATTAAATCTAATAACATATGATATTTTTTTATTAGTTATTATAAAAATTAATATTACGTAATATCTGACATAATATTTACTCCTATATAATTTAATTAAAATATATAATATATTATTAAATTTAATACGTAACACTAATCTTAATTGTATCAGTAATAAATTAAGATGATGAAAAAAACTAAAATTTTTTTAGACATACAAAAATTAATTTAATTAAAAATTTAAATTAAATATAATTTATATAAAAATTAACAACACAAAAATTAAATTATTTTTTTTAATAATAATAATATTTTAGTTTATCTGATTTATGATTATGAATATATTTATATACTTTTTTTTTATAAAAGTTGCTTAAAATACGATAAAGAATAAGTTAAGAGTTTAATTTTATTTAATAACTTTACTTATTTGATTCTCACATAATGTTAATTTATTTAATTTTGAGGTTTTATTTATTGGCATTTAGAAATTTAAATATCTATAAATATTTTCCCGCCGTTAAAGACAAATCTGGCGGGCTTCGCCATCTACTCCCAAGATTTCAAACATTAAACCCAGAGAAGAAATAGACAAGTCCAGTCCTCGATTCTATAAAAACAAATTTTATTTATTTATTTATTTATTATTTATGTATATATATTATTTAAAATATTTATTTTTAATAATTTTTTACTTTTAATATTTCTCTAATAAACATTTCCAGTGTTGCAACGTGAAAATAGTCACCATAATTTAACCGGTAATTTTTTTTTTTTACATAAAATGTTTAATAAAACTAAAAAGAAATGCTGCAGTTGCAATTATAAAATAATAGCTTAAATATTAATAATTTTATTATAATTACCAATAAAATTTAAAATTATTAAAAAATTACAAAAATTAAATTATAAAAAATAAATTATTATTGACTGACGAGGGAAGGTTGAAATTAATCCTTGTACCTCATCACAGAACACGTGGCTCCACATAAACATCACCGACGATTAATGGGCCCCTACGTACAAAAGCTCCAATAATTCTAGGGCCCACTTTTTATTTTATCTCAAACGTGGCACAATTAACTTCGCGGAATTAACTATCATTGAGTCGTGTTTAATTAATTCTAAATCCGGTAATAGTTCTCCTTAATCTCTTTGTTAAAATTGGTAATCGCAATCATTAGCGTCACTTTCAAACGTGACGATCACGGAGGCTTGTCTTTAGATTTTTGTGTAGAGCCAGCCACCATGCGCGCTTGGCGACAAACTCACATATATGTAAAGGCCACGTCTTTTATGATGCTTACGTGGAAATTAGTTTAACGAACGATTGATTGCCACGTGTTAGTTTGGAATCATACTGTGATTTGGTTCTGATTGGATTAATCATAGTAGCCGACAGAGGAGACTATTGGGCATCCAATGCAAAAGAAAATTAATTAATTTGTCAATAATATTTTAACAATGTGTTTCTTAAATATATATTTTTTTAAAAAAAATTTCAATAAATAATGTTTGGTAAAAATATAAGATTAAGAATTAATTAAAGGATTTAAAAAGCAAATAAATAAAAATTCATACACATACCAACAAAACATTTCCAAACTCACAAAATTAATTATTTGATTTTACCATTTGTGGAAGATTAAAACGTTGACTTAATTATTTGATCACCATAATAAAATAGCAATTGGAGGTTAGTTCTTGTCTTTTTTTAATAAGTGATCATCATCAATTAATTGAAATTTTCTAGAGAATTTTTATATGTAACAAAATTTAATTTATTATTGTATAATTTTAAATTAAAACTTAATCTTATATCCGAATCACTTGAAACAATAATAATATATAATTTTTTTTATTTAATATAAAAAGTAGAGGTGTGTATCGAACATTACTAAATTGTTTAATTAAAGAATAATTATTTTTGTAGAAAATGTTGAATTTCTTTAAGTTAGTGGGAAGGAATATACATGATTGAATGATTGATTCATGAAAATTGGGAAATACAAAATTACACTTATATATTTTCCTCTTTTGTGATAGCTCAAAGGCACTTTTAAGAACTCCCAACAATCTTTTTATTTATTAAAAGTGTAATGGATGTGCAATTGATATATGTGTATGCATGCATGTATAGATGTTCCCTTAGAGTAGAAACCACCCTACCCAAAAGGGGTCTCTCGAGCCTCTCTGCACAAAGTATGTGCGGGACAAATTAGACAAGTAAGGATGTGTGTGTGTGTGTGTGTGTATAGAGTTGCATATAACAAATCTCTAATACTTCTCTGCAATTCTTCTTCGCCGTAGTAACGCTTGATTCCTTTTGCTTTTCCGTATATTTGTTGAAATTTTCATCATTATTTTCCCTTGTCTTGCAATTCAATAAGATGCTCATATCCTCAAGACACCGACACCACCACCAACCAACAAATTGGCCTGACCAAAAAATTAGTAGTTCTGCATTTAAAGTGTTTTATACCAAAAGCATATACACACACGCATATATTATAAGATACACATACAAAGAAGATATGTTTATGAAAGTTTCTACTTTGCCTTTTCAAGTTACAAATGCATTTGAAATCTTGAAAAATATACGTCACCGACGCCTTCAAAATCATAGTGGGCCAAACAAAGTTGAACATTTTTGAGAGGGGGATAAATATTTGAATAAGACACCTACTGTATTATTAATTGCAGTAATATCAATTTATTATAAAACAACGAGTAATTCAATTTTAAAATTATCTCAATTTACTATTTATTAGTGAGTATAATAATATAACAGAGTAATTTAGTAATTAAAATTAGAGTGTTTTAATTGAAGATTTTAAACTACTAATATTTATTAAAAAGAACAGCAGCTATCTATCACTTAAAAAACATTAATACAACGGGAGTTTATTATTTAATAAGTTGGACTATATAATCAATTGATTAATTTTATGATGTACATCGGTTGCTCAATCGCTTTCATGGAACAAACTAGCATGTATAAAAAATTAAATAAATTATTTGAGATAATAACAATTTCTAATATAATAATTAAATTAATTAATAATAAAACATATTTGATTGTTAAGATGGTGTTATCAATTCATAGATATACGCATGTGGTGCTGCAAAATTAATAATAATAATCATAAATAGCTAATAATGTTGCCAGGACGTGCTAACTAGTAAATAATATTATTTAATATTTCGGCAAATCATCTGTTGGAATATCAACGTAATCCTCCAAATTATGCACGCCATTAATGTAATTATTTTATATTGTTTAATAAGCTACTTGAAATATTATTCAAAATTATATATATATATATATATATGAATACATTTTTTATTGTCAAAGATGAGAGTCTGATACGGATCTACGGATTTTTTATATTTTATTTATTGTATTTCATTAAAAAAATATATAATTAAATTAACAGGATGATCTAACTAATTAATTACCGACGTGACTATTGACTAACATAGTAACGTGGTACGTAATTGTTGAAGTTTAATTATGATGATTATT